GGGCCGCATTCGTGATCCTGTGTTAAGTGCCCGGTCAGTGGTGAAGGCCTTGGAGGATTAGACTCCCACGCCTCCCCACCCCCCAAAAACTCCTGTGAACAGCTACCCTCTCTCCCACACACACAGTCTGTCACATCGTCACGCACACACTTTTACACACACACACACATACACACACACAGTCACATAAAAATGCACCTCCTTTTAGCTTCCAGCTTTGAGCTCTTGTGAGATTCTCCAGAGCCACCCACCACAATCTCCTCCTCCTCCTCCTCCTCCTCCTCCTCCTCGAGCAATACCAGTACACAGGCCTGTTCACACACACACATATTCATACATACATACATACACGCACACACATGCAGGCGTGTGCAAACACATGTCACAAAAACACTCTAACATTTCCAGTGGCTCACCATTCCCCCGCCGGAGTAAAGTGATCCGCTCACACTCACATTAGTGCTGTTATTAGACCAGACCCAGACGTACAGTAGGTGTGTGTGTGTGTGTGAGTGTGTGTGTGAGTGTGTGTGTTTGGAAGAGGGACAGGCAAAAGAGCTCCAAGTCCACTATATACTAGGGTGATTGTGTGTTTATGTCAGGTTTGTGTTCTGACTTACAGTGGGTGGAGGTGTAAACTGTGTGTGTTTGTGTGTGTGTGTGTGTGTTCAAAGGGAGAGAGAGAGAGAGACACTGGTAGAGACACTGATATCCTGGCACCAGATGAGTGGGAGGAAGGATGGATGAGGTCAGAGAGGGTCTGACGAGGCCGCAGTAGGTGTAAGCTTGAGAAATTTCCATATGGCAGTAAAATGTCGGCCACTTCACTTATTGAGTTTCTAATGTGGGCCAGGTGTCTCTGCGAGGAGCACTTATTGGCCCGTTCCCTCTGTGTCTGTGGACAGTGTGTGTTTATATGTGTTTGTTTCACTTGGAGCTAATTGGGGTTTTTAAACCGGCTCAGACAGAGCTTCAGGACACCGTGTGTTACCACGACTACGACTGCAACGGATCTGGAGTCACGATGTCTTCGTAATCTCATCTCAATTACATTATAGGCTAATAGCTAACAAAAAATCTTTTTTTTTTTTTAGGTTTGCGGGGAATGAGCCACCAGGAAGGAAATGAAATATCACGTACAGAAATAGTCCGCCTGTGTGTCCGCCGACGTTCTCTGCTCCACGTTTAACCCGTTAAAGTCATTACACGACAACAGAGCCGTAGGTTGGGTTTTACTGCAGCCGTTCACAGACAGGAAAACTCCTAACTGTTTAAAAATCTCAAATGACACACACTATAAAAGGTAGGAAAATAAACCTGCTCCATAGGTTGGGTAAAAAAAAAGTATAAAAGAGTCTGATTTATTAATGTGGATGTTCCAGTCAGTGGAAAAGTCCCCCAATGCTGGTGTGCTGGTTTATATCCAGCCTATATTTATGGATTGACACACTTAATTTTTTTACATTGAGTTTATTAGAATGTTCTGGAACAGAGGAAGGAATATGCCTTGTAATTTTAGACTTAGATTTTTTTTCTTTCTTTCTTCCTGTTCGGGGATTCTATGAATAAATAATTGAAATGATGTAGTTTAATCCTAACAATTATTATTATTATTATTATATTTTTACTCTTTCTCCTTCATTTCCCTTCGTTCAGTCAGAAACCTGTGGGAGGGGCAGAGGTGAAAGTTATGAACTCATCGGTCGCCTCCAAATGGTAGAAGAAACTTTGACTTATGTGGTTTTTGGCAACAAATGAGTCCAGCTCTGATCTTCGTACCCACACAACTTGACTCATAAATGATTTTCCTTACAGCGGGCCATAGGGCTGAGTCCATGTGACATACAGTATGTGTACAACAAGGCCTGGAATATCACCAGTAGGTCGTCAACAAATAATGTTCCCAATGATTAGAATTACGTCCAAAACAAAACTGGAGTTGGTTTTCAAAGAATTTTCTTCTTATACATTAAGATTCTTTTATAAATTGTTTACCCATTACCATTGATAAAAATCAGATCCATTTAATTTCAGAGGTAAAAAGGGTCAACAGTTATGTTTTTATACTCACTAGTCATTGGTTGATAATAATAAAGGTTCTTTTTTCAATTTAATAATTAAAGCCTTTAACCAATGTTAAGTGATTTTGGACTATGAATTCATAACAAAAAAAAGTAAATTAATAAACTAATAAATAATTTTATATACTGTATTTTCCAGTAACAAGAGTTTTTACCATTGGATATTTTTGACTAAAATTTTGTATTTAATTCCTGATTGTTTCATATATATTTTTAAAAATATTTTTATTGTGATTATTATTGGTGCCGTCAACTTTTTTTTCTCTTATTGGTGTAATTTATTGTTGCTGCAACATATTTAATCTAATCTAATCTATATATAGTGTCAGTTAAAGTATCTGTCCAAAACTCAGTAATTACTAATAGATATGTTTAATATAATTAAATAACAAGCACAAAAAGAAAAACTCCACAGCTTATTACTGGCTGTTTTAACTCAAGCACCAACTTTACTTAAATACTGCAGTTAGTCCTGGAGCGTCGTTGCCAAATGGCAGCATATTATACTATTAAGTTTATATTAGCTGCTAACTCTGCTCTTAATACTCATACTCTCACACTCACACACACTGAAGACAGAGCACATGGTTGCGGGTGCATGGCCGTGTCTGTCTGCACCTCTCAGGAAATGACATCCAATCACCATTTAACTTCTTTTCACTGAAACAGCAGCCATTTGGCCCGACTTCTTCACAGGTTTGGCCAAAGTTACAAACATGTATCTTTACACTCTACTACAACACTGTGTGGCTGTACTGCATATACTACACTTTATTAGAGAGTATAAACTGTGTTTAAAGAAGGGCCGTGGTGCAGCACCGTTTCTCCTTTTTGCTAAAACTACAGCACAGAGAGAGAGAGAGGGAGAGAGAGGGAGAGAGACATTATTCACTGTGATAAATAATACAGCAGCGTTCTGCTGATGCCTTTGCTGACTGAGCCAACTTCAACTTTTCATACTGTGAAACTGTATCTGTCATCCTGACTCTGTGATGCATTTCTGACTAACTGAGTTTAATTAAACGCAACTGAGTGCTGCTGCAAAAATAAAATACATTTTACAAAATAAAACACACACACACAGAGAGAGTATGAAGTTCCTGTGTTCCTGCCGCCATGTGTTCCGTGTCTCTGCAGGCTTTTCAACAATCCTTTAAAGCCGCCACAGATCACAGGGGTTTTATTTGAGGCACCAAATGGCTATTTCCGTCCTTAAAATGCAACTATTACGACTCTTAAATGTGAAGAAATGTGCTGAGAGCAATAGTAATTACTTTGTGTAAATACAAAAAGGCTCATTCTCAGGCCTTGTTTATTTCTGTTTTGGTTATCGACTGAGGAGTTTACTGATACAATAAAAACGACTTTTAAAAGTCAGACAGAGGAACTGGAGGAGAAAAAGAAAAAGGTCCAGTCCAGACATTTGGCCTACATTAATTGCAACATATCTATGAACAAGAAAAATAACGAGTTATTATTATTATTATTATTATTTTACTTTTGTTACTGTTTCAGACTTTGGTACTAGAGTAAAACTTAATGTTAGTATTTTGTGTTTCCTCTTGAGATGTTCATTACCTTCCCGTCATTACATTTTATTTAATTAAAATGTTATAAATGAGACGAAAACGTATATCGTTCAAGTGCCTGGTGGGATCGCCTCATAGAAACTTAAAGGAAGTTTCCAGATTTGCTACTAATTTATTTTTATTTATTTATTTATTTTTGTACTTCAGCGACACTCGGGACTTCGACCTGATTTAATGTGCGTCTGATGTAGTTACGTTAAGTTAATCACGGTAAAAACAAAAACAAAAAAAACAACGCAATTCAAAAAGAAACCCTATTGCACTTCTGTATCCAGAACGCAGTCACCCGCAGGGGGCGCTGTGCGTCCGTGCCTGCACACTAGGGCTGCATGGCAGTCCAAAGAAAGGCAGGACAGCACACCGTGTTGCAAAGGAGAGCTGAACATTATCATTATTATTATTAATAACAACAACAGTAACCGGAGATTTACTAAGAAAACAGCGGCCGTCGTGGAAGAACTCACGTCGACACTGAAAAAAAATAAAATATATGCAAAAATCTATGGACATATTTCTGATTCCAGGTCTATTTCTGTCACAGACAAGTGTGTGTGTGCTGGAGAAATGCATTGTGGAGGATTGTGCGGCTGTAAATATGCGGAGCGAGGGACAAAGACTGCGCACAGAGAAGACGTGAATGTGCTGTCGATGCGCAAACATTGATTTTTCCCGCTGATAAAGAATGTGAGATTAAGTGATTGTAAAGGTAGTAGACATTATTTATTCAGTACAGCTGCTTCAAACCTGACCCCTCCTCTCTCTCTCCCCCTCCTTCCCTCCCTCTCTCTCCCTCTCTCTCTCTCTCTCCCTCTCTCTCTGTGCACAGCCAGTCAGTGTGCAGCTCCACTCCATTCCGGCGCACAGGCAGAGAGAAGCAGACGGTTGACCAAGCAGCTCCAAGCTGACAAACTCAGCTCAGCTCAGGGAATAAATAATCTGCCAACGGCACCGTAGGCTGCATGCGGGAATACCACTTGTTCTTGGACGCGTGTGAGAGCGCGCACATATGTCCGGCTGCTGGGAAGATAAAACCATGGTTCTGACGCACGTGTGGCTACTTCTGCCCCTGCTTTTTTGACTCCAGAGAGAGAGAGAGAAGGAGAGAGAGAGAGAGTTTGGATCTCAGCGAGAAGGCTTCGAATATTTATACTCTCAACAATCAAAGGTGGCTGGGAATATTGTCCGGATGGTGACGGTCACTGGACTACACGCTTTTGCCTGATCCGCTCCGTGCGAAGGGGGAAAAAGGACTGGAGGACTTGCGCCGGTGCTAGTTGATTAAACGCGCCTCTGGAGCTCGTTTGAGCGGCTGTGTGTCTACACTTCATACCCAAAGCTGGTGTGTTTTTTTTTTAATCCGAACTCTAACTTGTGCCTGTTTTGGTGAATGAGGGCAACTGTGTTCGTGGAGCCTTGACGCAGCTGGGACAGGGACTGACGGCGTGTGTGTGTCTGTGGAACCTCGGCTCAGCCCCGGATTGTTTTCCCTTCTGTCCTCGCTCTTGTGGGTCTTTTTACATGTCCCACCTGACCGCGTTATGACAATGGATTACTTTCTGCTTCTATGCAGCCTCTTGCTGCCCCTGGTGTCTGCCGTCGAAGGTAAGATATTCCATCCATCCATATCAGATGATGTTGTTATTGCAGGACGCCCCGAGCCCGCTGGTTCCAAAGTGTTCCACGGACCACGGTTCCTGGAGCCGGTCAACGCGCCCGGACCTGGTTCCCATTACACACAGTACACATTCTGTAATTTATCTCATTTACATTAGAACACGAGTGTTTCTTTTTCAAAGTGGCCATCTGGTTGGATTTTAGGGATCGCTAATAGCTTTACGCAGCCAGCGCTGTCCCTCCTCGGCGCGCTATTGTTGTGCGCGTCAACCGAAGACGCTGATCCAAAGAGGCTCATCCATTTCAATGGCAGTTGAAATGGATGTGTATTCTTTTTTTTCGGGTTGAATCAGCTTTTGTCGGCTGTCAGAGCTTTCTTTGTCACTTTAAGGAAATTAGTCCCTCACTGTATCCCATCGGGGAGTCGTGCACCGAACCACCCACATTCAGACCCCGAGGTCGGGCTGCCTGTGTCTCAGAGCTGCGTGAGTGCGTGGCCTTTTGACATTTGGACTATCACTTTTAGTCCAAAGCAAACTGATAGGAATTATTTCTTAAAACTCTGATCAAATTTTTACTTAAATTGTGTAAACTCTGATCAAATTTTTACTTAAATTATGTGAACAGCTCAAACATATTTTGTGACAGGATGTATTTTTAATAAGACTATTCTGCATTTACGAGCGGATTTGTCACATTTCGAAACAGCGGTTCGTTTATGTCCACGCTAATTTCGTTCCAATTCGCGTTCCCATTCGTTCCAATTCATCATTTCAAAGTGACATCACTTGTGTCAATCACCTTCAATATAACAAAGCCATCCGTTTTAGCTAATTGTGGACCTTTGCCGTGCGTAAAATCGATTGGGAAAGTGCTTATCACCAAAATACCGTTTCACTCCGGGGTAATTTCTCCTCTTGCTTTTCTCAATGAGTCTTTTTTTTTTTACTCGATCTGTGGGGAAGATCTGTGAGAAATGCTGGAATTGAGGTTGAAAAGAGCCGTGAGCTGGAAGTATGAATGCAGCAGCTCAGGCGAGGCTCCCGTTTGGATTGTGATGCCAGTAGAAAGTAGGACAGTGGGCCACTGGCTCAGGCAACGCGTTTTCTCTGCTTTCCCCCCCAGTTCGCCTGTCGATCTGGGTGCTTATAGTACGAACTCTACTCGCAGTTTTCTTTCAAATAACTTTTAGAGAAAAAAAGTACATTAATATTGCACTTTTGTTTAACTTTTTGCTGTGATAATTAAGGAGAAACAATAGCGTGGAGGCTGCACCGTTGTACCAGACAATTTAAAAAAAATAGTTTTTATTTATTTATCAAAGTATAGTTTAAAATATGCACCGTTGTACCAGACAATTTAAAAAACTAGTTTTTATTTATTTATTTTAGTCTCAAAGTATAGTTTAAAATACCAGATAATTACAAATGGCAATTAGCAATAAACGAATTAAATGAATTAATTAACAAATTAATTAATTATTTATTTAAAAACTTGGTTTCCTCTTTGTGTCATTTATGTTTGACCAAAATCCCGTCATCATCATCATCAGTGGGAGCACAAGGAGGTTATAAAAAAAAACAAAAAACACCAACTGCAGTTTTTATCTGAAACTCGTTGGTACTTCATTGATAACGGAGCAGGTTGCAAAGGGAATTCCAATCCAGGAGTCACTTTTTATCACACGCTCACTAATTAGAAATACCCATAACTATTAATTAAAGGCATGTGATTAACACACACACACACACACACACACACAGTCATACACACCCACGCTGTAGACACGTCAGGAAAATAAGTTGAGGGAAAAGTGCACATTTAAAAAAAAAAAACTAAATACCTCCTGCACAGGTCTCTGTGCCCCCCCCCCCGACCCCCCCCCCCCCAGGGCCACCGGAAAACCTTGTGTATACTTTTTTATGTGTATGACAGAAGGAGGGAGGGAGGGGGTAGAACAGGGGGTGAGAGAGAAAAGATGGGGAGAGAGGTTTTTGTTTGACAATTGTTAGGTCCGTGGTGCGCACCGGCTGCTGCACCGCGATGTATTTCGTTAGAACAATCTATTCCCTATAAGTGATACCATAAATTGTTCCCGGCTGACCTGGAGGGGGGGGGTACATAAGCTTTTAATACAGCCCGATGATATATGTCTGCTGTTCAAACTTTGTTTTTTTTTCGGGGAACTCCGGGTTTATGGCAAATGTAGGGTGAGGAGGTGGGGTTGGGA